AAGAACTTCTTCCTTATATCTAATCTAAACTTCCCCTGTTTAACTTTAAACCCATTACCCCTTGTCCTACCACTACAGTCCCTAACAAAGAGTCCCTCCCCAACATCCTTATAGGTCCCCTTCAGATACTGGAAGGCTGCTCTGAGGTCTCCACACAGCCTTCTCTTCTCCAGGCTGAACAGCCCCAACTTTCTCAGCCTGTCTTCATACGGGAGGTGCTCCAGCCCTCTTATCATCCTTGTGGCCTCCTCTGGCCTTGCTCCAGCATCAGTGTTGGTGATGGCTTTCTGGGAGACACAGAACGTGAGAAAAGAGAATTGTTTGTGAAAATGACTGAGAAAAGGAGAGATACAAAATCCAGGTTACTTTTTTTCTTGTGATTTTATATTACAGTATTTATGAGGGCTAAAACCTGGGCTTCAGAATGAGACAGTAAGTAAGAAAGAAATGAAGTACAAGAGTGAAATGCTTGCTGCTCCCTGAAGACATTACATCGTGGGAGACGAGGCCCCACAGGAATAGAGTTTCCTGTGATTTCTAAGAGATTAGGGATGCCAACTCAGGAAAATGGTGGAGGATTTTAAACAGAAAAGGTCACTCGTGTTTGGTATTGGATTACCGTGCTACGAATCAGCTTTCACACCTGGGTCCTACTTTAAGTTTCTCTGAGCTGTTGGCCAGGTTGTTCAATTTGCTGTACTAGTCTATTCCTCATCTGTAAAGTACAAATGAGAATGCATCCCTTCTCCTGCTCTCCTTTCCATGTCTATTGGTACTTGTCCGAAGGATCACATACTTGCCGTGTAGTTGTTTACTGACTAATCCAGTAGGAAACCAATCTGACACTCCTGGATGCCACCATATAATAATAATAATGTTGTCCTCTCTTGCCGTGTTCAGCTCAGAGGATTGTCAGTACCAGTTATATTCAGCATTACATGTGAGGATGCCAAGGCCCCCAGGGTATGCAGGGTTATCTAATTATTCTACTGTAAATAAAACCCAAACACTGACTGCTGGTATTTACATACTAATAATCAGGATTTCTGGTTAGCATGAACAGAAATGTGTTTATCCATGGATGATTTTGCTATTCAGGCATACAGTTTTCAAATGACAGTCTTTTGGCTGTAAATGTAAGTAAGAATCTGCTGAATGTCAGACATTTTTAGAATGATAGTGCCATATCTGGCTTCTGGGCATATCTGTGTTACTGTGGTAGCTCCAGTGAAATGAAGTGGTTAGAACAAGAGGCAGGATGTTACTACCAAATGTCTGTCTTTCATTTCTTAGTGTGCTAAGAGTAAAACAAAACCCAGGGTTGTGAAAAGACAACCTGTTAGGATCTTTTTGAAATCTGGGTAGCTCAATGTTTATGCAGTGCTTCTCTTCTTCTGTCAGCCTCATGAAATTAGAGGTTAAAACTTAGAGGAGTTAAAGCCTTCTGGGGCCTAAAGCCAGAAAGTAAACCTCTCTGGGCTTTTATCCTTTGCCAGGGATTGATACCGGAAAGTAGAACTACAGATATTTGAAGGCACAAATTCTCTAATGCTCCAAATCCTGCCTAAACACTGGCATAGCATCTCATTGACTCTACAAGATTCTTGCCCACATGCAGGAGGGATACACTAGGAAAATGATTTTCCTATAATGCTCAAGGCCATTTTGACTCATTTGCTACTTAAATTCATTTCCCCCAGAGCTGACCTTACCTGAGGGACTCAGGGAAATGCACATAGGATACAAGTAGCAAATGAGAAACATTTCTCTAGCACTCTGTGAGTAATTTTTGGTTGTCCTTGTAAATTAATGCTATTTTGCTTAAATTACACTGCCTTTGTTAAAAGATCAAGAACTCTTCTCCACTGCATTTTTGATACATTAAATTACTTTTATCCCAGCAGTTGCTTTGTCTTCAGCATAACCTTTTGATTTAAGAATGTTTTTGTCTTGTGGCTGAACTGCATTGCACTTTCAAGAAATTGGTTTGGGAAGTCCTTGCACATGTGTTGGATTTTGCTGTGTCACGAGTGCATTGGCTGCTGCAAAGTCTGTCAACCAATTTCCATGTCAGTGAACTAACATAGAGATGTGTTTGCAGGGTCAAGCTGTTGCTCAGCTCTGTTCAACTGTTCCCAATGTCACTGTTTTTGGAACGGCTTCATCTTTCAAACATGAAGCAATCAAAGACTCAATAACTCACCTGTTTGACAGAAATGCGGACTATGTTCAAGAAGTAAAAAGGTAATCTCTTTTTTTCCTGAGTAAGTGTTGCATAGTACTATAAAAGACACCAGGCTGATCATATTTATGGGAAAAGATTACATTTGTGAGTTTAGGAACTGTAGTTGATTCTGTATATTCCATCTGTCCACTATAAGGGACAAGAAAGCAAGCGTCTCCCTATTTCTTCATAAGCAATATAAGTTTTGTTAGTCCATGCTCATTCTTGGACATCTGTTGCAAGCAAGGTAAATAAAGTGGAAAAGAATAAAGGTCTTAACAGAAAGAGGTACTTTACAATTATCTGCATTTGTAGTAGCCAACTGTAATGCACAGAGTAGGATATTTTCAGTGGATTTGTAAGTTATCCAGGTTTTGGAGTTCTCTGGTGTGTTCCTATCTGGGTTTTTATCTTCTGCCAGGGATTAATATCAGAGGACATGATGCCTGTTTTAATTTCAGATCCTTAGATTTTGTTTGTTTGAATTCAGATTAGAATCATCCTGTTGCCTTTTGAAGCCATCATGTGTTTCTATTGAAGCCATCATGTGTTTCTATTGAAGCCATCACGTGTTTCTATTTATATGCTTTCAAATACTTTGTTTTACAATTTTTCTAGCTGTTTTTAGATACTGATTTGATACAGGTGGCAAAACTTTAGAATTTATAAGAAAATCTTAGTAAGAAATGTCTTTTTTATTTTACTTGTCAGACAGATAAGAGTAATGTTTTCCCTTCATCTTGTATCTGTCAAAATACTACATTATGTAGCTGGGCATAAAGTAAGAAATTTCTCAAAGGAGCATGCCAACATAGTACCGTTGACAGGCTTCCTGTCAAACTTATACTTTCCTCAGAGTGACATGCAAAGTCTCAGAAGGTCTCAGAAGTCTCAGAAGTACGAGGGTCACTAGCCCTCAGAGGGCCTTCAATGCATAGCAGTCTGTTGGCAATCCAGACAGGTGTTGGAGGAAAAAGGACATCTTGCTGCTGTTTCTGGGCCACTCCCAAGGGCTTATGAGAATATTTGAAATGGTCCATCACCAAAGATGTTTTATATCAAAGCAAATTTTTTTCCACGTGGGAAGTTTCACCAAAAAAGATAGAACTCATCTAGCAGATGACACCCCTACCACTTTCTTACAGCTCAAAACTGCAGCACATTCCTTCAGCCCTTTGATAGCCTTTCTTTTGGAGAAGTATACATATCTAAGTGTTTTGCTGTCCCTGGAAAATTGCTGTAGTGAGATGAAGACTGAATTCTACCAATCCCCACTTTGAAACATTTATTCAGCAAGAAAGAACACTTGAAAAAATGAATCAACTTTCAGCACCAACCTTAATCCCAACTCCTGGTGGGGTAGCAGAGCAGTCCCCCCCAAAACTCTAAACAAAATGAACAAACAAAAAGCACCCAGAGGTGATAGGAACATTTCCACATTTATAGGGGATGAGGAATCAGTTCAACCATGGAAGCCACTGAAAGCTGTTCAGTTGCAAAGTCATTATTCATTTACAATGAAAGCTCACCCAGTGGCCTGAATATAAGCAATTTATAACCCCACATATGGGAGCAGTACCAAAGAGTAAAGTTGTCTGATTTTGTCCATGTTTGTAACCAGTGGATGCCTGAGCATCACCTTTTGTTTTGTGAGGAAATGGAAAGATTACAAGCCATAAAGCTTTCTCTCTTTCCTGACCTCTAATTCAGTTATACTACTGCAGAAAGCATTCACAAAGCTATTTACTGGAAAATTATAAATGTGCAAACTACTGAAATGGTATAAATACTTTCTGCTTTCTATAATATGGCCTGATTGCATCCTTAGAGCTGGGTTTCTAGCTCTTGGTGGCTTCTCTTTATGCTTGATTTAACTCTTTACTGATGTCTAATTGGTACGAAGTTGGAAGCAGAAGGCTCTTTAAATAATTATACAAAGACATCATTTTATCAGAGAAGAACTAGGATAAGATCTGTTTCCTTATGAATTCAGAAAAAGAATATAAGAAGATGTGAATAACAAAAATGTTCTTTTTTTCTATTACATTCATTGACTTAAAAAAAATGACATTCTCTAACATTTGCATTCACTCAAGAACTTTACATCTATCACCTATTTTTTTATATTATCATTTTACGGAAAACCCTCAAAAAGGGGAAACAAAATGGTTTTCCACTTTTCTAAGCCTGAAAGGCGTGGGTTGGCTAGCCCAACAAACTCACTTCGTTCCAGCACTGAATGAATTTGATTTGTCTTTTGACAAGGAGACAGTTTTCATGTAGTCAGAGCCTCAGCCTTAGAGTTTTTTCTGAAGTACCTTGAAAATGTTAGTATTATGTTAACAATCAGCCTATATCATGCTGGCTGACCAGTCCCATGGATCTTATTGCCAAGTGAGATTTCTTTCTTGCTTTCTAGAATCTCGGCAGATGGAGTAGATATTGTTCTGGACTGTCTTTGTGGAGAAAACACTGGGAAAGGCCTCAGTCTTCTCAAACCACTTGGGACTTACATTTTATATGGTGAGTGGAAAAAGCCAGGTATGTACTTCAAACCTAAAGCTTTGCAAAGCTTAAAATCCCTTAAAATCACCCATACCACTCCTTCTAGAACTGAGGCCACCATGTTATGCTTTCTCAATTTGACCGTTTCTGATCAAGGATGTTAGTGAAGTTGAGCATAGACTAAATTATTGAGAAAAGATAGGTAATACAGAGAAACTCTTAAATTAAGAAAAAATCCCAAAGTAAACCTGAATATATGTTTCAGATTGTTAAACACCATTGGGTGATACAGGAGAAGTGCAGGAGAAAGCTTGGATCTCTCATTCTACACATCATAGGAATCCTAGTGTGGCCAAGGAAACTGTAGTATTGTTCTTGTGGGAGGGAAGACTGGAGGAAGATTTCAGGAGGAATGCTGTCAGATTTACTTGACATGATTTTGAGGAATTCAGGCTTAGGCTTCTCTTCACAAATTTCCATTCGTGTCCATGGACTGCTCTACACACCGAGTATGTAGATACAGTACCTGTACATACATACCAGTTCTGCCAGGTTGCAATGTTGTGTGTGGATAAAGTAGACCAAGCTTCTGTAGGAGGACAACTGAAGGGATTGGTAGACTTGAAATGAAGAATACATCTGTATTGCAGTGGAAGGTGCAGTGGCATCATGGATAAGCATGCATGCTTCCTTGGGCTCTCATCTACCTAGCAGGTTGGCAATAACAAACACATTGCCACTCGGCTGTCCGCTTGGGCTATACAAGCGATCCTGTTCACATGTTTGTAATGGAGTCCCTGCCAGTGAATTGCCATTACATTTGCTGACAAGCTGTAGTGTACAATGCATGTATCTACACACGTGTAATGGTTAGATAAATGTATCTTTAAACATATCTGCAGATACAGAGAAAGGACACCAGTGTGCTGATTGCTGCTAAATAATAGTCTGCCAGAGACAAATGGCATTTTGCTGCAGTGAAGTAGAGACACGTAGAAGAGTTTTAGTGTCAAGAGGCTTAGTCACATTTAGCTTGTTCCTGGTTTTGGATGGTAGATTATTTTTGTTATCTGAGAATACCTACAGACTTGTAGGGTTCAGTCATCTTGGCCTCTTCGTTGTTTATTCCAGAAGTGTAAGGCTGTCTACTAATCCCGTTTAAACCTGGGGAAATGTGATTATTTTTTTTTTTACTTATATATGAACCATGAAAATGATTTTACATAAATGGTCTGCTTGTCAGCGTGTAGTAAGTTGTGTATGAATGTACTTGTCTTTTTCAGGTTCATCTAACATGGTTACTGGGGAGACCAAAAGCTTCTTCAGTTTTGCAAAATCAGTAAGTGTCCCAGTGGTGTGATTCTTCTCTTTCCTCTAACTTCAGTGTTTTCTGTAGCATTTTCATCTTTATCATTCCCATTTATCTCCAATAAGTTATTACTTCTGATGTTGCTAAAAAGACTATTTTCTGACTGTGGCGTGGTCTGACATGTTTTCTTCTGATGGGACATCTAGACAGGAATTGGATTTGTGTACAATGTATATTTAAATTGTTAGGTATCATACATCTCTTATGCAGCTAAGTTTAAAGTTACACTTCATTATTTATTTACTTCAGGCAAAATATCATATCCATGGTTATGGATAAGTGTACTCTATAGGTTCCTGATATCTGCAAACACCATCAGGTCGGTGCAGTGAATTAAAGGAGGTACAGAAGGAGATGTGTCTGTTAAGATGGGGCCTGAGTCCAGTGATTTCCAGCTTTTCACAAGTTAGTTCCATACAGAAATGCAGGTCTCCATGTTAGTGTTAAGTGACATCAGACAGACATTGCATTTGTTTCCTTACTGATGATGTCAACAAATCCAAAATTCAAATGTTAAATGTTTTCCTTCGGCTTACTGCAACAACAAAAATCTGCTCAGACATCCCAGAGATTGAAGAAGAGACAAATGTATCAAATAAACTGCTAGTGAGAAATAAGTTAACCTGGAGTGAAAGTGATTTCTTGAGACAAGAAAAACAGAGGGAGAAATCTTGACCGAAGATTGATCTTATATTTCTGCCAAGAGCTGATTTACAGCTTCCAGTAACAACCCCTTCCCATGAGAAATTGGCTTCAAAAGTCTTTATGTAGTTGGAAACAAGATAACTCAAAGACTAGAGCTTTTCCTTGCCTCCTGCATTTTTTTAATGGATGTAGTGGTATGACCTTCATTACTGTCATGCATTTATGAACTGAACAAGATAATCCTTACTATGCAGCCTTAGTACTGTTAATAAAACATCTCCAGTTGCATAGAATTTGTAGTGTAGGTTGGCCCAATGAAATCAATTTCAACTGAAATGTTTTCCAGATAGTACTGGTATTTATTGACCGTATAAATATGAGTAAATTAAATTGATAAAAGACATATCAATTTCTGTATAAAAGTATAACTAGTTTCTTATTGTAATTATACTGCAAAATTAACTCATCAAAATTATATGAAAATTTTAATTAGATATTGACCCATTCAGATAAAACTTGCTAGGAAGTGGGATCTCAGTCTCATCAATGCTTCATTAGGTATTATGATGCTCGCTCAAATACCACAAACATAATAACGGGTGTCAAGCTGATAAGCAGTGCATGGTTTCCTTGCTTTTGAGAGAAGAGTAATAGTTAAGAGATGCTTGCAGACGTTTGGAAAGCTGGCATGGCTCTCTTGAGATAACACAGAAGGATAGCAGAAGTAGGAAGGGACGTCCAAATTCCTTACTTCAAGATTCATGTCCTAAAGCCAGATCTGTTCACTGTTCTAACACCCTAATCTCATGCCACACAAGTCTGTTTCATTTCCTCATTGTCAGTCAGCTTTTGTGCCTTTTCCTTAAATAAAATCCTCTAGGCTTCTCTTGGCTGCTGCTTCAGATCTGAGAGATGAGTCGTGTATCACATCTGCCCAGACAGATTTCTTGTGAACTTCCCTGTGCGTTTCTTGGAAACTGTTTTTCTAACCCTCCTGTTGTTTATTGCTTTCCAGTGGTGGCAGGTTGAGAAAGTAAATCCTATCAAGCTGTATGAGGAGAACAAAGTCATTGCTGGATTTTCCCTGTTGAATCTGCTTTTCAAACAGAATCGAGGTGGTCTGATCAAGGGTGTGATGGACAAACTCCTAAATCTGTATAACAGTAAGAAGATCAAGCCTGTGGTTGATTCATTGTGGGCTTTGGAAGAGGTAGGAGCAAAATTTATTTCCTTATTTTGATATTTCTGAAATACATGCATTCTTAGATGTGAAATCAACTTTAAATATGTTTTCTAGTTATTAATGTATTCTGCTTTTAAGTTTGTGCACAGAATGTCTCCAAAGCCCCCATTATTCAAAACTCCATGATCCAGAGTTATCCACACATTTCTATAATAAATATTTCTGCAGTTTCAAATGCTCTGGGGAAAGTTGAAAATACTGCTAAGAAATGTGGTTTTACAGTCTCAGAAAATTGTCTTCTAAGTGCATGAAGCAAGAGACTAACAGGTCAGGTGTCAAATGCAGACGTAATTAAAACCAACTTAAAATCTATTCTGAAAAAAATATCTGAGCTTTAGTTTCAGTGTTACATTTTTGCTAGCAAATGGAAGCTTGGAAGTTTTCAGAAAGTTACTGAAAATGTATCACAGGCAGTCAAATCAGAAATCACTTTTAATGTAAGACATATCTGTGGAGCGTGGGGGGTTTGGTTCTTTTTTTCCTTCTAATTGCTCAGCTCCTCTTAAAGACATGTAAGGAAACTATTCTCATCATATCCTGCTCAATTATAAGCTGCTTGACTATAAGCACTATTTCTGAGACTTTTATACTTAAGATGCTGATAAATGAACATTAAGTATTTTTGGAGGTGTGCACAGACATTAACATGTAAAGAAACAGTATGGTTATAGTAGTACTGCCACATTAGTATTTGTGGTCTATGTGTTTGTGAAGCCTACTGAGGCTGGCATATCACTTAGGATGCATGATCTGTAAGAGTTCTGCTGAATGTCGATTGTGGTTGTATCTTTGTACGGTTGCTATTCAGAAGGTGCTGCAACAAAACTCTGTGTCTGAACGTCTCAGCTGATATTACCAAGCATCCACAAGAGAATAGTAACTGTCAGACTTAATAAATAAATACTATTGTATCTTATTAAGATTTTGAATGCCTTATGGGCAGGTTTTTGAGCCCAGCATGTTGTTCATTATTCCAGTGGCATTACAGCACCACCATTGCCATGGATACAGGTGAGATACCTTAAGTTGTGTCCTGCCTATGTCAGTTCTTGGAGCAGGATGCATTGCATGCTCACTGGGGCTGGTATGTGCCTGGGCCAAGTTATATGGCAAGGCATGTCCTGCCTGTAGGTTGTGCTAATGTGGGAACTATATATCTCTTCATGCCATTGCTACATCTGTACCCCAACATGCCACTTTATGTGGTAGAGCAGTTGCAGATGGTCCAGCGGGGTATGGGCTCTGTCCCTCTCCAGCGAAACAGCGAGGAAAGACATTCCCCAGGAATGTCTTCCTGTTTCTCTAAAATGTCTACCTTATGCCATGCTGTCCCTCAGTAACACTGGGGGCTTTACCAGCCAGCAGCATGGGAGTGGCTAATTCTCACCATGGAACTGATTAAGGAAAATCAAATGTTGTGATAAAGAGCTGCTGGCTCAGGCAAGAGAAATTTCTCTGCTATTGTCTGAAAGGGAAAGAAAGCCCTTTGAAGAGAAGTGTAAAATAGAAATGGGATGAGATTTAGGTTTCTGATGTGGGTTTTTTGTTTAATTACTAAATAAAGCTTCTGAAGTATTTTAAAAATGTAAGTGGAACAAGTCTTTAGGCATTCTGTAATTTCTGTGTTCATGTACTTGTCATGTATTGGTGAGCAAGAGGATATTTAAAATAGTGACAATAGCTTAAAAAATCTTGATCAAGAACATGAAAAATTACACGTGGCAGGATTGTAATAGTCAACATGATGGGAATTTGTTGGAAGACTTCTGTTTGATAACATTTCATCTAACATTTGGCAGTCACACGCACCATCCGTACCGGTAGATTGTGAAATGTGTAAATACATCTGTTGTAAAGCACAGTCTAGAAAACTACAGCTCATTTATCACGCCTGCTCGCTTTCCACCAGCTATCTGGTAATTTACAAAGGAAATGTCTGGCTAGTATTTTCAGGGACATTATAGTGCTAGAGGTGTCCTTAATTGATTGCAAAGTATTACTGAAATATTACTCACACAGTTTTGGGGATATATTTTTATGCATATAAAAATAACTTATGGCTGACTCTCAAGTTAATATGATACATAGAAAAATGTGTCACAGCTGAGGACTAAATGGAACCAGACTGAAGAAAGGTTGCTATGTGGTTTTGTTCTGTTTTGGGAGGTTTCTTTTTTTAACTCCATAGCTCTAACATCTTCCCCCTTCAGAGTTTGACATTTTATTTTTTTTCACTTCCTGTTAAGCTTGATTTTTCTCCCAATGTCCATTTTCATTTGACCATTCTCAGTAGTCTTCATTAATGAATATACCAATTATGACCAGTTTTTATCATTGATGTTTCCTGAGGAGGAAATTTCCTGTCCCATAAGAGCACTGAGAGTAAATATGTTTAAATTAGAGGGTTGCAGAAAGGTTGACTCCCTGCATGGCATTTGGAAATGAATGATTGAATAGTTTTCTATGGAAGAATAGCACCCTCTCCAGAGGCTCATGGGAGGCTCACAGTGTCCTCTGACTAGTAATTCTGCTGTAGAGTTGAGCTTGAATCCTGTAAGTAACATTCAAGGTGAAAATATTTTAAGAAAAAATATTGGAGAAAATGTTCAGTGGGGCAAATGTTCAGTGTTAAATACCTGAGTGTATCATCTGGATGGAAACTTAGAAGTGACTTCATTTTCTTCAGTGCATTGAATTATCGCTAACACAAGGGAGATCAGGATCTAGACTATTGACTACTGCCATGAAGCAAAACTACTTGTATTGCTGTGTTATCTGTTGGTGTTGGCTTGGGAAGGGCTATTTTTCATCTCAAATTTACCTCCATAAATCCTAGTAAAGTCAAGACTGTTCTCACTTAAGCCATTAGAGCCATTTTATGATATTAATGTAAGAAAGATTAGCTAAGAGAGACTAACAAAATGGAAATCTATCTGGGGAATTACTCATCGTGAGATGAGCGAAGTCATACAATAAATTAGCTGCTGTTGAGATGTTTCACTATTTTGCAGCTATTTGTTTGTGCACTCAGGTGTTTAAAAGATGAGATAATTTGTAGATGGTGCATGCTCAAAATAGTGTTCCGTAGTAAAAAGCTGATTGGTAGGATTGCATTTCATTACAAACGGTAGAGTTTAAAACAGAATTAGTATTCAGTGAATATTTGTTGGGCTTCCTGGTTGTTTCTTTGTTAGTAACTACTTGTCTAATCCTTAATTTGCAGTTGGTCGCTCTTCATTCTGATTAATTGGCAGAGTGCATTTATGCATTAGCATTCTCCTGAGGGTCTGTGAATCTTTGGCTTTACATAGTAGATGATTCTAGATTATTAAGCAGGATGAAAACTGAAGGTTCTCAGAAGGTACAGTGTGTTGAATAAAAATGTACATGTTGCACTTTTCAATTAAAATTCTGCTTTCGTCAGCTTTTTATAATTGCAGAAGAAAATGCACTCTCCAGGTTGGTTATTGACATGGAAGTTATATGCACCTTCTTTGGTGTTTTACAGAAGTTGAAAGTAGCATTGAAGTCTGGTAAATCAAAACTCGGAAATTCTTGCACATGAATTGCCAGTCAGTAAAGTGACAGTGCAAAAATGATTCTCATAATCAAAATGTCTGTAGGCCCCTTTCACTCAGGCTAGACTGCCTGTTTCAAAGCCATGGCTGTAACATCTCAGTGTGTCAAAGTTTTCAGGTTTGAGCTATACTGGTCTGTATGGGTGATCAGCGAGATTAGGGAAAAGCATCCTGACTACAGATGTGTGTTGTGCATCAAAGGTTTCATTGCATTCTTTTCTCTCAAGTGATTTAAAGAAGTGCACTGTTACATAGTAATAACGGTATCAAAGACCTGTACTGCCCTAGGCCCAGTAAGAATGATGAAGATACTGAAACCTGTGGAATAGAATTGCTACTTAACTCTTAAAAGAAAAGTGAAAAGATAATCTGATAACATTACAAGATCAAATCTTATAGCAGGCACTGAATGTCACCCCATGTCATTGTTTTGTAGTGTTAATGTAATAATGTCTTAAGTAACTCCTTACTTAGCAAATAGTAATGCAAGAACTGTATATAGCCCAGATCCAGGAGTATGCAGTGGCACTCAGCTGTGATTGAAATCATTGGAATCAAGGCATGAAATACACTTATGGATCAAGCCCTGTGGATCTTGATATGAGTATCAGAGTGCTCTTACAACTGTGCCTTATGGGCAGTGCATAGTATATTTCTGACGGGAAAGAGCCCTGCACCTTAATTGAGTTTGTTAACTGTCAGTTGCTCTTTTTTTTCTGAATAATTTTGAGAGATGCTGCAGATGTAGCTGTAAGTACAATCTTTATATAAGTGGGATTTCCTTGTCTTGAAGCCAGAGCCTTTGTCTCTAGTAAATTACTGAGGAAAACCCAAGAACCTAAACCTAAAGTAGTGCAGTGCAATCAATCACATTATAGTAACATTATAGAATACCCACTGATAGAATAATTTTCTTTTAAAAGAAACATTTTCTCCTATGTTCCTGTTCTCCAAAACTTCCTGTTCTCTGCCTTAGCTTTCAGTGTTACTAAATAGAAAGGAAAACAGTAGAAATGTAAGATCGCAGCCTTATCAAGTGGCAATTCAGTGACGAGAACTGGACAAAGGAACACTCTCCATACAGAATTTATGGCATGTTTTGGGAAGAGCAAAGCCATCAGAATGTGTCTGGTTTTAGCACTGCTTTGTGGCTTCAAAGGGTAAAGGTACTATAAACCACCAAACTCATCCTCTTACTTTTATTAGCATCTCAGTGCATGCTTTTCGATATCAATGATAGGAACATTATTTAGGATGGGGGGACAAGAAATCTCAAACTCATGATAGCAGAATAATAAGTGAACCCCCTAAAGCAAAGGGGGTTTAATTTCATCAGAAGCTATTCATGCCTTTCAGTGATTTTAACTTTAGGGCGAAAGGCCTTTCACG